TTTGAAACAGAGTCTCATTTTGTGACCCTGGGTAGAATGCCACGGCATCACAGCTCCCAGCAACCTCTTGGGCTTGAGCAATCCTTTTGCCTCAGCATCCCTAGTAGCTGGGACTACAGGTGTGTGCCACCACGCCTGGGCTGAAAATCTCATTTTCTGACAAAAGACTTGTATATCCAGAATATACCAAGAACTCTCAAAATTCAACAATAAGAAAATAGATAATCCAATTTTAAATGGGCAAAAAATCTAAACAAACAACAGAAAAAAATCTATGAATGGCAAATAAATACATGAAAAGATGCTCAACATCAGCAGTCACTGGGAAAGTGCAAACTAAAACCACCGTGAAATACCGTTACGTATTTACCAGAATGGAAAACCAAAACCAAAATCTGGTAATAGGAAACATTGGCAAGAACGTGGAGCGGCGATGGTCTCATACATTCCTGGTGGGAATTCAAAACGGTACACACTGAAAAACAGCTTGGCAGTTCCTAACAAGGTTAAACACACACCTATCCCATGACCCAGCAATCCCAGGCCTCGGTATTTACTCAAGAGAGATGAAAGCTTATGTTCACCCAAAAACCTGTATGAGAACATTTATAACCACTTTACTCGTAGTCCCAAAATAAAGGAAAATATGAAGCTATCTTTCTGCAAATGAACAGATAAATAAAGCATGGGACATCCATGTGATCAAACATTACTCTGCAATAAAAAGGAACAATCTGTTGTACCAGGTGACAACACGGCGGGGATCTTCAATGCATTTGTTAAGTGAAAGAAGCTGGCCCCAAAGAATACACACCTTGTATGATTTCATTTATATGATTCAGGAAAGGTGAAACTGTTAGGGTAGAAACCTGAACAGTGGTTCCCAGGGGCCAGAGAAGGGGGTAGGATAGCCATAAAGGGGTGTGAGGACTTTTTAGGATGATGGAGCTACCGCCGTAGATAACAGACTTTATGTATGTGTCAAAACCTATAGAACTGTATACCACAAAGAGGTATACCACAGGAGTCTACTATATATGAATTAAAGTAAAAGCAGCCAGGAGTGGGCAGGGGGAGGGAGGATGAAATGCAGCTATTGAAAAACAAATATAACTGTATTACAAGTGAATGAAATAACCACACTGAATGGGATGGGCATCAAGAATTGACCTGAGTAACTCTGGGCAGGGAGCACTGGATACCATGAGAATAAACAATAGCGACAACAAAAACCCTATGGACTAACAAACACAGTACTCTAGTGGCTAAATGTGTTTCCTTTATTATTATTATTAAATCATAGCTGTGTACACTAATGCCATCATGGGGTACAGTGTGCTGGTTTTATATACAATTTGAAATATTTTCATCAAACTGGTTAACATAGCCTTCATGGCATTTTCCCAGTTATCATGTTAAGACATTTCCATTCTACATGTAGTAAGTTTCACATGTACCCTTATAAAATGCACCGTAGGTGTGGTCCCACCAATTACCCTCCCTCCACCTGTCCTCCCCCCTCCCCTCTCCTCTCTTTCCCCTTTCGCTCAATTTGTTTCTGGGGATATGGCTTTTAGAAATTCTGAAACTGCTTTATGTAGATACCAGAGATGAACAAATAAACAGAGAGATTGTATAAAATGAGACCTGGGTTTCTAGCCAGGAGAAAGAAATGACAAATATGAAAAGGAGCAGGCGCAAATGAACCCCGTGGTGCTGGATTAGAGATAGCAGTATCAGTATAGCCTTGCGGGGTGTGTGTGTATATATATACAGACACACGTGTACACACATATACACACACATCTATGATGGATATAGAAACAAATATGTGTTTTGGAAGAGTTAGTATACAAAACAAACAAACAAAAAAAGAGTTAGTATACACACACACACACACACACACACACACGTTTCTTTCCTACCTATATTTACCAAAATAGACCAGAAGCTCCCTCAACCCAAGAGTAGTGAGCACACCAGCTCCCAGAGCTAGATACCAAAATACCACTCTCCCCTTGGACAAGTAATTAATTCCTGTAGTTCCAGAAAGTAAAGAAAGGCTCAAATAGAGCAGGAGCCTATCAGAGGAGCACAGGAGTCAACCTGAACGAGCTCCCACTGGTCAAAGTTGGAACTTTAATGGCAAAACAAATGATAATATTGTATTGTAATGCAAAGAATAAAATAAACGTCTTTGAGGATTGATATAAACACCTAAATAAATAAATGAGGGATAGGGACAAAATTCTCTCCTGCAGAACAATTCCAATTAACAACTGTAGAAGGATTGTGGATATAGAAAATCATTAGGATGCTATAGCAATAATTGCTGAGTCATAATCCACTGATGGATGCTAAAATTAGTGGGCAAAAGTTTACGCTTAAACAGAATATTTGCAGAATCTTAAAGTATCGTCCCTACCCCTGTGTTAATTACAAAGATAAAAATAGTAACTTTACAGTGGAAAAAGCTGTCAGACACTACCTTGACCGAGTGATCAGTATAACTAACTCATCACGTACTCCACACTGAGAAGTACGCGTCAACTCTTGGCACCCTTCCCAATCATGATGGCAAAACATCAGACAAATTAAGGAGCGTTCTACAAAATGCTCTGAAAGCATCAGGTCATGAAAGACAAAAAAAGCCGGAGGAAATGTCACAGATTGGAGGAGACCAACAGAGCCACAATAAACCCAGCATTATGGAAGCCTGGTACCAAAAAGGGACATTAGTGGCAAAACTGGTAAAAAACAAAGGCAGCATGTATGTTAGTTCACAGCATCGTATCGATGCTAATTTCTTAGTTTGATCATTTCTCTACGGTTATAGAAGATATTAGGGGTAAAAAGTGTATGGGAACTCTTCTATTATGTTTGTAACTCTTAAAAGTCAATTTTACAAAGGATACCCTTTTGTAATACAAAAATGTTTTAAAATAACGTATAAAAAGAAGATTGCAGGTATTATGTTACATTTCATGATTTTTTAAAAGATAGAAATTTTTTAAAATTGTATTTCTTAAACTTTTCATTTTTACAGAATTGACTCTCATACAAAAATACTGCTGTCCATCATTCTAAAGAAAATCTCTGATAATGTCACTCTCCTGTGTAAAAATCTTCAATGGCTTCTAATTGCCTTTAATTGCATTTGAATCTGTCCCTGCAGTTGCTCTGGCCCATGTGGCTCCCCTTTCCCTACTCCCCTTTATATCCTGCATTCCTACCTAAAGCCCTGCTGCCTTCCTTCACCCCACACGCCTAGAAATGCCTCTTCCCCAGCCTCTGCTTGTCCAGAGCCCAGAAACCTCACTCTCCCTTGAATTCCTAGAAGATTTTCATCACAAACCTTGTCAATTTCCAGTGCTGCTCTGAGACCCGGGACAAGGATGCCTCTGTCCAGTGGCTTTTGGAGTACCTTCCGCAAAATTGTCCAACTCACCCTCCAGAGAGTTCTTTCTGTCCAAGACCAGCGGTCACATACTCCCTCTTTCTCCCCTTCAATAATGCTTCCTTATCCTCCACACCAACATAGGGCTGACCAAATGCTCTAAGAACTCCAGGGCTCCTGTCTACCTGAATCTCATCCTCCTGGGAGTGATCATCCCCCCGACCTGTTGGGTATTTCTTTTGAGGAACCACAAGACTGAGCCAGCTGGATGGCATTGCCACACTGATTTAGAGTAACTGACTCAAATTGTTGATATGAACAAAAACTCTGCCAAAAACTTGCCTAGGACCCTCACCCTAGGGTGGCCTTGTCAGTTTTTGTCTGGTATTACATATCCCCTGAAAGGGCCCTGTCCTAATCACATCTGCATTCCCTCCCCACAGTCCTGTTTGTCTGGAGACCTTGCATATAGTAGGTGCTCAACAAGTATTTCCTAGAATGAATGCCTGAAGGCATGAGTAACAGCTTGTACATATTGCCTTTGATCCATGATTCTAGCCATGTTTTTCCTATGCAAATTTCTGGATCTTCCTCATTCTTTTGATTGGGATTTTCTCATCCCAACCCCTCTGGTCACTGACCTGACCGTTGGTGTGCTGAAAGCTTATCAAGAAGGAATAAACACGCCTCCAGATTCTCTTGACTGCAAACTGCAACTGAACTTCAACTCCAAGGCATGTGAAAATGGCCAAGCATGGGAATGCTGGTTGAGTGGTTTCAAGGTAGGCAGCCCAGTAGTTTGGGTAGACCAGTGCTTTGGCTGCAACAAACTGTAGTGATAGAACATATGTTGTCGTGCTTTGCTTTTGATCTTCTGCTCCAAGGTTGAGGATACTCTCCCAGGGGGGAAAGAAGAAAGGAAGAACCGGGCCGATGAAAACGGAGTTTACCCATCACTGACATACTTCGTACCTGAAGCACAGCCACCTTGAGTGAAGACCATGGTGGCAGCTCTTCACAGTCACCTGATTAAGGAGCGTGGGTTTGGTCCTGACTCAGAGGGAAATGCAACACGACTGAGAGGTCTCCCCCACAGCACCTGAGCACTTACAGCCAAGCCTGGGCTTGGCCGCAGCGGACATACAGGTGACTGCCAGAGTCACCAAGAGGGCTGGAGGCCTGCTGTTGCCAAGTCCCTCTACGTGGATCACAATAACTGCATGAGGTCATGGAATGTTGAAGATGAAATGAAAGTAGCTCCTAAGTCACAAAGTCACAAGCAGGTGGACATCCTTTCGACAGGGCTCCTGGAAATAGAGCTGTCCCACTGTCCCTGATGAGCACAGGAAGTAGCTCCCTCTCCCAGACAGAGTTGGGGGGAGTGGGGGTCAAATCCATGAATGTCCAATTCCCACCAAAGCCCCCTCTCCCAGGGGATGGCTGGGATGGAAGGGTAACCACAGGCTCCCCTGGGATTCCCCTGTGTGAGGGCAGAGATAGACACAACGCCTGAGGCAGAGGTGAATGGACAGGTGTGTTTCTTAGGGACCCGGCTAAAAGGTGGCAAGAAGCTGGCAGCAGCCCTCAAGAGGGTCCTGGCACCATGGACAATGATGATGAGCCTCTTGAGCCCGAGACACAAGGTGAAAAGGCATCCCATCTCTCACCACGCAGGCCTGTCCTGGCTGCATCAGTTAACACCCATGGATCACAGGAACCCTGGAGCCCACTGCTCTCCTCATCTGGGACCCTCTAGAATTGGGATGATATGTTACATTGACTCAGCTTCAGGGCTTGGCAAGCACTGAGAGTTGGATGCAGTGCTATGCTGGAACTGGCTCTGGCTGGCTTTAATTTTTATTTTATGGTCTTGGTTGATGTCATTTTGGTAGTTTAAAATCGGCCACATTTGGGAATATTTACACCACATGAATTGGCTAAACTATAAGTCAGGGTATTTTGATGGTTTTGTTTTGTTTGATTTTTGATGAGATAAATAGTTACCAGCATCCCCGTGGTTGAATGGAAGTCTAAAATTGTTGGACTGATGAGGAAATTAAGACTTGGAAATACACCACTTTTCCAAGGCACTCAGCAGTTTGGCCACTAAGCTGCTGTATGTCTTCTAACTACCCGGCCACTGCTACTTACACACACAGACCTTGTATCATACAGACTTTGTGTTACCAGCCAGGAAATAAATGTTGGAACCTGACAAGGACAAAGAAGGATACAGACCTGTGCAGATTTGTTAGAAACCCCACCATCCTAGTATCTAGGTGGTCACAACTTGAGATGCTGGTCACCAATGCTCAGTCCTTCCAAAGAGGAGGTTGGCTGAGTTCTGACAGGTCCTGCTGATACTGGAAGATTGAGCTCTAGAACTTCCTGGGTGGCCTTTAGGAGCCCATGGCTGGTTTCAGATCAGTGGACCAGAGGTGGAAAAACCATGTCTAGCAGGGAACGGGGGTACAGGAAGCTCTTCCCCTCCTGTCAGCGTCTCATCAAACCAACACATGTATTTAATCACAGCAATCAGTTTCAACCCAAGGGAGATTGTCAAGCCCCTCCTTCTTCTTGGTCATAAAATCAATGTTGGATTGGAAGGAAGAGAATCTAGGTCAAATTCTTAAGTGTCAAATTCTCTCTTGCTCCCTGGAACTGCTCCTGGTCTGTTTTATTTTCCACTTAACCCAAATTAACCTGTGCTGCCCTGGCCCTCCCCAGCACCGTGTGTGCCTGACAGAGAGGAAGCCTGGGCGTTTGGACCCACCCTTTCACCTGCAGACCCTGAAACCCATGCAAGCAAATAAGAAGGAAAAGTGCAATCAGGGAGCTCATCTCCAAGGCAGGCCCCAAAAACGCAATGCCGCGGGAGCAGCCACTGTCCAGGGAGCATGGCAGAGTGTGCTCACAAGACCCCAAGGACCATGTGTTGAGAAGGGAGGGCTTGTGGCTTGTGCAGTGCAGTCACTCTGGCAGGGCTGAGCACCTTAAGCCACATGAGGCCAGGGGGATGAAGGCCACTGCCAAGAGCTGGGATGCAGAGGAAGGGAGCAGAGCCCAGGGGCAGTTGGTAGCAGGCTCCACCCAAGGGGCTGGCAGATTTCATCCCCAGAATCAAGGAGGTGAGTTTTTCTTCCAGATGAGACCGAAAACGTGCCAGCTCCAGAGAGTAGCGAAGAAGCCCTCTACTGTGAGGCCGAAACCCTGCCGACTGTCGAAAAAGAGAAATCAGCCTGGGAGAGTTCAGAAACAGACCTAGAGATTGAAGGTAAGAGTGGGCTTTGGGAGTGGTGGCGGGGGCAAAGGAGGAGGGGAGATGTCTCAGTGGCGCCCCCGGAAGCTGGAGAAACAGTGTCCAGGAGCTGGCATCTCACACCTTTCCAGAGCCTGCCAAGGCTCTGCCTGGCAGGACGTCCTGCAGAGGGACTGTGGGAGAAGGGCCTGTGCTCAGTTTTCACCATGTCCTCTTCAAGGCTGGCTGGGGCCTCAGCTGGCTGCCTCGGGAGCAGTACCTCACATCAGCTTGCCAAGGGCCAAACTGGTGCAAAACAGGGGGTTCTGCTCTTCTAAATGTTTCCACCTATGGCATCCTATGCAGTCTTTGCAATGGTCCTAGGAGATAGGCATTATTGTCAATTTTTAACAGAAGAGGAAATTGAAGCTTAAAGAGATTGTGTGAGTTGCCCAAGGCCTCTGGGAGCTTGCCAAGCCTATGCTGGCAGATCCCATATTCAACTCTCCTTGAAGGTCTGCCTTGGTACGCCATATGCCAAGGCCCCAGAGTATTTCTGTGGCGCTTCTTGAATCCCACTCATCTTAGAGTTCGTGTTTCCCTGTTGGACAGCCCATGTTTTCCCTTTAACAAATTTAAGCATGCCTGGGTGTCAGGCCTGCTGAGCAGGAGCACCCTGCTCCTAATTTCCCCAAGGAGGAAAGCGCCCAAAAGAATATTTATGAAGCAAGGGGAGGATGACGTTGGTCCCACCCAATGGGGTCAGCCTCAAACATCCTAACCTGAGGCTAGCCCAGTAACTCTTCCTCTCCTGCGTCCTTGCAGCTAGATAGGGAGCAGTGACTCACAGGCCCCAGAGATAGAGAGGAGGCCATTCTGCCGCATTTAATTGTGAGGCTCATCTTCACAGAGTCAGCTCATAAACCTCCCCTCCAAGGTCAACCTCCAAGGTCAAACTTGGAGGCAGACCTCCTTCCTGCTGCCCCAGACATCTTGTTGCTTTTTTCCTGACCTTTTATTCTCATTGAGGCTGTCTCTAATGTTGCTATGACACCTGACTTCACCTGGTTGGAGGAAGTGACAAAGAGCAACACTGGATGTCTGCCCAAGGCTCCTGTCTCACTCTCATTCCTCCTCACCTTCCCCCAGCAAGTGACAATGCTGTTGCAAGCGACCCCTAAAATGAACCATAGTGAACACAGCTACAAAGGGACAACCTCAAACAGAGCAGAATTAGTTCCAAGGAGAACATCAGGGGTTACTTCCC